AAAAATAACTCTTTCCACGTTCACATTGTAAATGCCAATTACCCTACACCGGTAACTGACCTATAGTGGATAGGTTTCCAGAGGCAATGTAGTCCGAGCGGTTATTATGCAATATAAACATTGTCCGGGTTTTAATCATCCAGGGATTGGTCGTTGATAAAACCTCTCGCAACCTGTCAGTGTCACTATGATCATGACTGACAAAGAAAGCGGACAAAATATACAGTTCCTCAGGTAGACAAAGGAACATCCCTTCACTGTTATTATATAAAAGGGTGTAGAACAGGTGTTACATGCATATTCACCTGTTCTACACAATTTTACATAATAGCAGTGAAGGGATGTTCCTTTGTCTACCTGAGGAACTGTATAATTTGTCCGCTTTCTTTGTCAGTCATATTCATAATGTGTATTCTTCAAAAAAACATTTATTGAGGAGACTGACACATAGATCAAAATGATTTACATCAAAATAATTTACATAATTGTGTGAAAAAACACATTTCCTGTTTCAATGAAAACTATCGCATTGCCTCCCACAACAATACACATCGCTGTTGTTTTTTCGGATCCACCGCAACAGAGAAATGGATATTAACGGGGGTTTCAGTCGACATGTCCATTCAAATAACACTTCCAATTCTTCTCATTCAACGATTGTATTCCAATGTTGTCGGATGGGAATATCTGTAATAAAGGTTACTGAAGGGGGCCCTCCGTGTGTACACATGGCAATAACGTGGTAGATAAATGTTAGCTTTATTGAAATAAACAGTTGGAGGCGAGTCGCATTATGGGGATGATCGCGATACTCGGCACACAAATCTACGACGATTAGCATCAAGACGCGTAATCAAAAACGCAAGAGGGGCAAAGCTTGGGGGCGCAGAGAAACCAGATGGTCTGTTCTCATTATCTTCTTACGCTCCATTTGATGGGGGAATGGGTCGAATTTATTTTATGCACCGTGAGGCGAGCTTCGGAAGAATCGTTGACCTCTATCTGATGTTACAGGGTCCTCACTGGAGATGGGCAGTGACAGTCCATGACCGAGATTTTGTTTCTCATGAACTTGCAAGAATGGTGTAATATCAGCAAAATGCTTTGGATAACACTTCTTAATATATAGCGTTTATATGCTATTGTAATCAGAAGCATTTTTTCTGTTATTCAAGGTACTAGTAAATATATTCTTATTTTTTTATATTTTTTTTTAAGGTTAGATTATGATGTTCCTAGCATCTTAGATCCCAAGTGTGAAAATACATAAGAAGAGTGCTATCGCATGCAGGAAGAGGGAATCGGGAAGCTTTTATAAAAGACATATAATAAACGATTCGTACATTGGGAATAGCGAAAGCCAAATAAGAAAACATATTGAATTGTAATCTAAACGTTTGGGGATGATCTAATAGTCCTTCAGCTCCAAATCCAACGAACCACAGATCTTTGCATCATTTGAATTACCTTACCAAGTCACATTATATGTAATTGGAAATTCAATAGCGCGGAAATAATATGAGCGAAGTTTCAATTTACATATGTAATTATCAAAAATAAGTTCAGATCTACCGAAGATGAAGCCTAAAGATAAATTCAAGTTTCTTGTATTTTTTTGTAAGAATAAGAATACCAGGGAATATAGACATACTTTATAGGCAGTTCGTCTTGCACACATCAGAGTAAGGCGCTTTCTGTAGTAAATTTAGAATTAGAATTACTTAGTGCCTGTATTAAGCCCTACGTGCCGCATCTTAGATCTTACAATTCTGGATCCTTCTGTAATTGACTTCGTGCTCTTGAACCAAGTATTTATAGTGGTAACCATTTTTTAATGATGGGAATTTGCCAGTGAAATACCTCCTCGATTTTAAACAAGTCGTGTTTTGTCTCACGTAACAGCCTTGTTACCATAAATGTATTTCAGTAAACTGTGGGTAATGTGTATATATAATATCTCTTTGAATAACAAAAAACACCGGTTGAAGTTGTCCACATGTTTGGTCAGGATTCAAGGAGTAGCAGATTCGGGCGTTCTTGGCAGTTGGGACGTTCTCTCAATATCAGTGGAAGCCATGGATTGTATCGGAGAGGGAGGATAAGTAAATAGAAGATCAGTGGAATGAGAGCTCTTACCCCCATGGAGTGTACGGCTGAGGGTAGCTACCAATCGATTAGTGCGGCTCCCGTCTGCTTATTAGGATCATCGACTTGTTGAGTTTAATCCCATCATGTTATCATATGTGATATAACCAACATCTCTCTTGCTCTCCGCTTATCCTTGTTTCCCTTCTGTCTCAAGTTTTTTTTCTTCTTTTTCATCTGTTCTATATCTTATCTCACCAAATGATATCCATCTCTCTTTCTCTCTCCTATCCATGCTATATCATTTTTTTGAGCTTGAATTAGTCACAAGTGCATCCAGTTTCAATTACTTGTGGTCTCTGAATATTGCTTACGCCGGCTATGGCAATGATTGCATGGATTCGTATTCATTCGGGAAATGGATTTTTCCCGCTGAGGCAGATGAATTTCCCAGAATAAACATCGTTGAAATATCGTCCTCTGATATTGATCGAACTAGCACTGTGATAATCCATCTTGTATTTACACCATACCCAAGCCAAAGCATCATCTCTCTTAAACACGAAATGTTTTTGTGAGAAATGAATATAACTTGTTCCCTGTTTTGTCGCATCTGTTGATGTTACGAGCGGACATTATGCCATCTAACAATGTAACATTATAGGGAAGGTTTAACAACTATAGGTAGTTTTTCTCGCATCCATCTCTTAATCCGCCAAAAATTGAGAGTGAACATGGATTCCAAGAAATGTTTACAAGAATTGATGTGATTAGTTTTTACTGTTGAATTGACGTTGATTTTTGTTGCGCAATATTTAGAATGTCTTATTACGGAAAAAGCAACTTAAATAACTTGATTATGACTCCATCTTGAAATGGAGTTACTTGCTCCTACAAAGGTTCGTAGGTTATTTGTTTAGATGCATGAACTGACTATTGATGGCAACTTTTCTGGATCTAATTATGCAAAGATTTCCTTCTCGTCAAATTTGTTGATTCATATATAAATTTCAAAGGATCCACTCTTATGTCATGTATAAAGTCTTGCACCCATTTTCGATCTTCACGTAAACGTAAGCGGATCCTTAATATAGAATAGAAACTAAATTAATCTATATCGATCCTTTCTAATTTTAGTTCTATTCGCAATAATAATACAGAGTTTTTTTAAAACTCAACTCGGTTAATATTTTGTCAAATTTGAAGATACTTTTTTCTATATTTTGTTACCCTAACTGGGCATAATATTACTCAAGTTGGATAAGAACATGCCCAAAAGTCGTTTGGATGAACTCCTAATTTATCAAAAATATTGAGAATGTGCAATTTAAAGTAAAGTGTCGAGAGAGTTAGCCCTTCGTGTGTCAATGGAATTTCACGGTAGGTTCATCGTGTCAAGATTAAACACGGCTTGCCCAATGTCTTCTGCCTGCCAGCTCGGTAAGATCTTCCCAGCGAGACTGAGTAGAAACATTAATGAATAAAACATGGTATTTTGTGGCCGTGAAATAGAATTTGCTCCTGTTATGCTGGGGGGATCAATGACCACTTTCAGGGAGTTTATATACTCGAGCCTTCCTTCGATTCGTAGCGAAATAAAATCGATAGATCGTCTAGTTTGGTGTTTGTCATATGCGGAAACAGACCGCGAGCGTAAAAGAGAAACGTAGAGTTGGTGAGAATGCGGGCGTAATGTTAGCTGTAATGTCAGTTACGGGTCTGCCATACGCCATGTAATTTAAATCGTGAAGTTGCGATCAGTTTCCGGGGGTACTTTGTTCTTATATTCAGACTTTTCTTATACCCCCCCCCTCTCAACTGCGTAGCCCCACGCAGTGTCGAAGCTTAGCATATTATTGTTTTTAAATTCCAAGGTACAAAGCAACTTAGAGGGATCTAGACTGAATTTGACCCCTGGTTATATCCAGGGGTCAAATTCAGTCTAGAAAAGCGGTGTTACCTACGGGTGTTACGATGCAAGTAATGAATTAATGAGCAGCAAGTGACTATGGTTTCAAAAGAAATATTTAAATTTGTTTCCAATTCATGAAATCTATAAGAAGCGTCCTGTTCGTACATTCCATCAAACAATAAGAAAGATGCTCTTACAAATAATGTCAGAGATTATTTTCTCAAGTAGCCAAATACATCTTAATTGTTCATATCCTATTTAGGTTTTTTTTTTTACCTGAAAAGATAAAAGAAAAATAGATAAACAAAGTAATGCGTGATTATTTACAAAATGGGGCATGTTTAAATAAGGGTGACTGTTGCATCACAGATGCTTGTTTTGTTCAGTCAAACAAATTAGCATCCAGATGTAAACTAGTACCTGAAAGGTGTAATGCACTTTCTGCCTCCAGTATTACTTCACGAAGACATGATTGATTATTTTTCAACGAAATTTCCCTCCAAGTTTTGATATTCTATTGACACGGAGTTGAAGTCGGTGGTCTTGTATTTCGTTTCTCTTCACATAGCACCATGTCACTTTCTAGACGTATGCTACTAGTAAATTAGCACTTGGAAACTTTCTCTGAGTATATTTTATGTTAAATTTAATACTACTTGGTACTAGCTAAAATTGTGGCTCTTAGTGGTCGAATGGATTCATCCGAAAGAAGTGTTCAGTAGAATGTGGTTCATTTTTTAATGCTATGTCATAAAACTCGCGTCAATTCAAATACATTTGTTATTGTCACTATCTTTAGTTGCGGTGTGGGCAATGGAAGTAAGAGGTTCACCGTTTTCCTGCGAACCTTCAAAATAGTTTAAGCCATCCTTGGTCAAATTGTGCAAGTCAAGTCACACTACCACAAAAAGATCTGTGCTATGAATCCACAATACATATTTACCTTTGTAAAAATTTATATTATCTATCATGGTATTTTGTTTCCTTTTTTTGATATCCATAGATTCCCCAGGTGAGTTATGCTTCTACGAGTCCTGAGCTGAGTGACAAGTCCCGATTCGACTACTTCCTTCGCGTGGTCCCTCCGGACACCTACCAGGCTCAGGCCATGCTCGACGTGGTCAAGGCACTCGGATGGAGGTACGTCGCCACCATCGCCTCGTCCGGCAACTACGGCGAGAAGGGCATCGACGCCTTCAAGAATCTCACAAGGTCCACAGGTAACGTGACTAATCACGTGATGACGTATCCCGTTGTTGAATTGAGTGTTGAGTACTGAACCACATTCGATTGCACATGTTGAGTATTGACCACCAATCAGGGACAAGTTTGACCTGGAAGTAATTCCCCAGGGGTTTATTAATGTCCCGTTCAATTACATGCTCATGTTGGAGAATTACGGTTCATCGTTAAACGGTCCCATACACACATGGGCGTGTTTTTAACTTTTCATTTTTCCTTTATTTGGAATTGGAAGAATGGCATGGGGGAAACGGTACATTCTTTATGAACTTTATTATGACATTGTCCATTTCCTTACCGATACCATGGCCCGTGAAAATACACACGTCCCTTTTTTAGTGCTCTCTGGCAGTTCAAAAGAATTATTTAGCTGAGACACAGAGAGAACTCACTGTACCTCAACATTGCCATCAATTTAATATTCTGTAAACTTTCATTTTTTAACCTTAGCTACATGTATTTAGCGACTTTAATACACTTCTATCAATTAATCGTGAATGTGATATGTTCGTTTTTTATCATTGTATCGACCAAGCATAGCGGTAAAAAAAAGTTACACAGAATGACTTTCTTGTAAGGCAAGGCAAATTTCGTAAATGACCTCAGAAAGAGCCGTTACTTCAAACATTGTAAAAATACGTTGTATCATGATAAACTGAAATAGAAAAATAGGAGAGATGATTAATGCCTGCTACGTGCACTCTTGATGCACTATAAATTGTGAGGCTGGGGAATGTCCTTGGACCAGAGAAGAGTAAAACAATACCGAATAATGCACTCTATTTTCATTATATATTTGCCGTAAATGGAAATGGGTAAAAAGGGAGAAAGAGAAGGGTAGGAGAAAAGCGTCATCTTGTTAGGGCAAAAGTTTGTATATAACGCGACCTCGTCATACATTCCACTAAGGATTTTGATCATTGATAGATTTGAAAGAATGACACATGCAAACGAACTGAAAAGAGAGAAGAACTGAACGAAAGTGCCAGAAGATATAAAAGATGAATGTTTGCACTGGTCTTGATGGGTTACTTTTTATTATTCATCTAAATTTATTTTTCACAAATTGGGTTAGTAATATCATACTTGAGCTTTCCTTTTCGTGATTCATTCATGAATACTGTGTAGTGCCATCGGGTAAACCTGCGCTGTGACTATTTATAGGCAAACATCTCTCATCATAAGTCGTGGCAGCAGAACACTCGAGTCGGGAGAGAAATAACCCCATCACACAGACAGGCGTATTTGTCTAAAACGTTAAGTTTAAATTATGGCCCTATTTTCTAAATGAGCCTTCGCTTTGCTTCAACTCTGAAAGCACACAAATTAGGCTGGCCATACGTTCTGTCATACGGTTTGTTTGATCGCACAGCCATGTGGCAAGGAGAGAGATAGACAGAAAGAGATGGAGAGAGAGAGAGTGAGAAGAAAGGAACCTAAAGTACAACACGACCTTGCGTCTTGCAGACTTTTCCATTTTGCCCGGACTCAAAGGTGCGCGTCTCATATTTGACATTCATGGATACTTATTTGATTGAATGTTGTGGACGTTATGTCAGATTCGGCTCGTTACTCTATGGCATGGCTCTTCGATATAACCAGCATAGTCTCCCTGTCAAAGACGTGGCATATCTCTCTTACTTTGCTTAGCAGTATTGTTTGCATTTTGAATTTAAACAGATTTGAGATACGATGTGTAAGTACTGTGGTAGTAGCAGTATGTTCATATCTGGATAAGATAGCTACGTAAAAATAAGTAAATACGATACATAACGTTTATATAACCGGATCGTGCCTAGCTCAAAGTTGTCTGCATTTCAATTAGGAAGAAGGTGGAAATTATTGATCATTCGTATACATATCTGTTTATACGTGGTGGTACTAGGCGGGTACCTTTTCTTACATATACTCTCCCCGCTTTTCAATTCGTGTATTTTACGTCTATCCATGTGTTTGTAAAGGAATGAGGTGAATATGTTTTAATTCCTACGTCAAGACAAACTCTTTACTGAATTATAATACTTTAAAATAATTAGAATCAGTTCTCCCGAAAAGCAGTTTCCTTACCAGAGCTCGAGACGGGTCCTTGTCTTTTATATAAATTAGCTTTTAAAGGTGAAATTTAAAGAAAATCACAAATATGTCAACTAATGTATCACTAGAAACTAAAAGGCTACCAGATGGCCTTCGTACAAGTTTTTGGTCATCTACATATCGGGTGATTTATAAAAATACAAATACAACCACCTCCATAGCAGCTGGGATATACGAGAGATTCGCCGGAAACAAAACGATGTTTTAATGACGTCACTATATGGATCAATACTGCCCAAGCAGACGACATCCCATAAAGAATGAGCATAATTGCAAAGCTATTATTTGTCAAATTATAATGAGTTTAGTGTATATACATGTAATGACATGTCAAACCATTCAAAAGGGGATATGACCCGATTCTGATAACTAAAATCTTTTGCTTGTAAATACACAGGATAGGTTAATTAACAATCAAAGAAACCAGACTTTCAAATAGAAAAACCCCCGGAATGATATTAAGGACGGCATTTGTTCCCTCTTGAAACGCCGAACATACCGCGGTGTGTGCAGCTGAATATGGCGTCTTATTTTGTTTACAAGCGACAGATTCCTTTATTTTTGTATCGCTGCATTTGTCATCAATATAAAAACATGCGCGGGGTTTAGAGTGAGGCAATAGATTATACACGGTAGTGAAGTAAGAGAAAGAACTCAAGAGAAGATGAAAACACAGGCACTGAAAATGTGTGAAATGTCATGGTACATCGTCTGCTTGTGCAAATCATGTCCATACTGTTATCTCACACATCTCAGCAGCGTTCGGAGAGCTCTTCAGGTGCTCTGCCGGGGCTGTATTTAAGCGTTTTGTAATTTATAATAATCATTACTTCGAATATTTCCAAGAATTAAATTTTAATAACCTTGTAGAATCGAAGTTTCACCTTTGCAATATTAAATGAAAACTAGACTTTAATTCGTCACTTAGACGAATTAGGTGATACGTATGATAATGGTTTACATAACGAATAATGCATTACACGATATATTATTTTGTAAAATGCTTCTCCCATTTATATGCTTCTCCCATTATGATCTATTCATATGTCAAGATTAAATTGTGTCTCCTTGATCATCATGGATCTAGGGAAGATAGATTGAAACAATATATGACCTTTGACCCTGTGCAGTAACCAGTTACACATTTGACTCTAATTTACATCATGAAGAACACCTTTTGACGATTTTATCTTATTCAAAGAAATGAAAATGTAATTGATAAATGATTATCATCATAATGATAATGATGATCAGGATGATAATGATCATGATCATGAGCGCGATCATGACATCTTATTGAAAAAATGAGGGTTGATTTAGATAGCATATAGTCTCAGCTACAACTTACTCAAAAGTCAACAAAATCCAAGCAGAAATAACGGCGATATTGCTCGCAGAAGACAGGAATGTAGACTCCAGATTTGAGAAAAAGTCATCTCCCATAGAGATTACACGCAAAAAGTAATGGATTAAGTGAAAATAGGGTAATAATAAAGTAAAAAGGGTTGTTTGTGACATTATTTGCGATTCTACGTGTTTTAATAATCAAAGGAGATGGTACAGTGAAGGTCAAAAGGAAAAAAAAGTGAAGAAAAAAATTGTTGGAGACACCCGGACTCGAACCAGGGATCTCGAGATTGGAAGTCAAGTGCGTTACCGATATACCAAAACATTTCCCATAGCGATTACACGTAAACGGGAAATGGAATTCTGAAATCCTACTTTGCAAGTGAAATATGAGCATGATCCCGGCATCTAATCGAAAAATAAAGGGCGCACTTGTGATAGCTCATTGTCTCAGCTACAACATATCCGAAGTTCAGCGAAAACGAAGCTAAAACAACAGAGATTTTGCTCGCGAAAGACAGGAGTGTAGAATCCAGTTTTGAGAAAAAGTCATGTCCCATAGAGAATACACGTAAAATGTGAAAAATTGACATGCCTTCTTTAATTGCAAAAATACGCCATGATGCCTTTGTCAAAATGGAAAATTGTGGATTATTTATTTGTAGAAAATTGTCTCAGGTAGAACATATCAAAATTTAAAAGAAAATCAATCAATATTTACAGAGATACAATCAATTTTCCAAAATTATGCTGACGTCATAATATGCAAATTGAAATTTTGAGTTTGGAGGCCATTATGATGACGTTATGAGTTAATTGAGGGTCAAATGAGACATGAAATCATATCTCCAAGTTATAACCTATCTAAATATGAAAAAATATTGGGAGTTTCTATCTATTCTGAAGAGTTACAAAGAATTTTGTATAGACATGTTTTTGCTCATGTATTGTGGATAAAGATAACGCAGGTCCGCGCGCGCTGTCAACTTTGACGGACGCTCATTGCGTTATTAAAAGGTGAACAAGTTATCAAAATGCTTGGAAAGATGTACCAAATATGATGATAGAGAACATTCGGCGATTCTATGTTGCAAAATGCTAGTACGCGCAAAAAACGCGCGCGCATGCGCGTTTGCGTGATTTTTTGTCAAATGCTCCATATGGCCTGAAACGTATGCAAAAAAAATTTGGGATGATTTGGAGCATTTTAATTTTTTTCGCGCGCGTAAACGCGCGTACGAACGCGCACGCGCGCATTTGCGCACGTTTATTGATCTGAAATTGACCGGATGGATATTGATCTTCTTCCTGATAAATATGAATGAAAAATTCCTTTCCGTTATGAAGATATGATCATAAGTTTATTTTCACAAAATGGCGCCTGGATGACGTCACGATAATTTTGAGTCTTTGAAAAGTCACGCAGTTCTAAGTTAGACTAAGATCTATCATCATGGCAAGTTTCATGATAATGGCTTTATTCAGTCTTGAGATATCCTGCGAACAAATTCGAGGAAGAATAATAATAAATAAATAAACTAGACTTTAATTCGTCACTTAGACGAATTAGGTGATACGTATGATAATGGTTTACAT